ACCTCAAGCCATTCAGTACTCCAATGATGAATCGGAGATCGAATATTAATCATGGCGTTAGTGTGAGGATTGCCACGGTCAAAAATAATTTTACACACAGCTAGCCCTAGCTAACTGACAAAATACAAAAAGGGCCTAACGAGGTATGACGAACATACATCGCTATCGCGACAAGTAATGTAGCAACTGATACCCAGCATTAGTAAGAGAGAGAGAGAGAGAGAGAAAAAAAACCGATTATGCTTAACTGAGTTTGATATGCTCAGGTAGTTTTCTGGGTTTGGACAGATCGATATTATGACGTTGAATTGCTTTCCGTGCGATTTCCGGTCCAGTTAAAGACCATTAAGGAGTTGAGTTAATTACAAACAATTCTAAGTGACGTCAGAATAAGGTTTCTTGATTAAGAACGGTATTTTATACATAGTTTCCTAATTAATTATTTGGTGGTATGTGAAGTGGGCGACGGATGGGCTGACGTAAATTGAAATTTTGTCAGGGTGTTTTTTGACACAAAGAGTATGGCTATTATTATACTTCATAATTTAACCATATTGATTATTGTAAAATGATATCCACAATACATATATACGATTACAGCACACTTTGAACAAACTTCGTCATAATAATTGAAGTTTTGGTGAAGTATAGACACAGAAGATAAACGAATCAAAATGCGAGCAGGAAGCTACTACTTCTAAACAATGCTACCACGGCAGATGCAGCTCTTGTTACCATTACTGTCACCGTCACCATCATTGTCATTAACATCATCTTTAACATCGTCATCATCATCATTATTATCATCATCATCGAAATCGTTATTCGTCATCAGCATTACCAGTATGCCTACCAACACAACCAGTCATTACCATTGGGGTGAAGTCCCTGGCCCAGTCTCAATGTACCAGGACACTCCTACTATCTTAACACCCAAAATTCTACTACAGAACCTTGGCACCTAAATCTAACCATATGACAATAACATTTCTGGTTTTTAACTCAGAGATATTGCATCACACGAAATAGAACATTTCTAAGGTTTTATAACATAGGCATATCGATGCCAAATGCACTTACTGGTTCCGGTGATGCTTACAACTGTGTATTCTATAGGTAAATGTGTTACAATAACCCACAGTAACTCGCAGCGTCATTGCGCTAAAATGCGTATGAGCGGGTTCCGTTACTATATACATCAGTAGAGAGGTGTTTAGTATAGCTTCATGCTCACATTCCACAATGACAGGGGCTGAAATGAACCACAGCATCAGGGGTGACCCAACTACTCTTTCGAAAAATGCAATGGGTTCTTTAAAATACACAAGAGATCGGTACACTGACCTCAGATTTTTAGCCAGGGGTTGCGCCAGCGGGGGAGGGGGAGAGCTCCCTTGCCCCCATCCCCACCGTCGGGGAGAAAAGGCACAATTCGTCGGTGAGGGAAAAAAAAAATTTATGTATTTTCCGTACATATTAGTAGACTCTAAAATCGATTAAATAAACATTTGAAACCCCTAAATTGCCAAAACTTTTGGTGGCTTCGCCCCCTGGACCACTCTCGAAAACTTTTATTCAAAGCTCGACCACGCCTACTTTGCTTTCGTCGGGGAAATATTACCCCTTGTCGGGGCATCGTCCCCCCATCCCCGTCGGGGATCTCGCCCTCACCCCCCGTCGGCCAAGTCCTGGCGCCACCCCTGTTTTCAGCCCTCACTCCAAAAGTCGTAGAGGAGCGTCTCGTACCTGCGGCAGCGGGGTTTTCAAGCTGTAGTTAACGGTGCCCTGCCTTACCAATGCAATTAATTGGTGGGAGCCTACATATGGGTTGTTCTCATAATATGAGTGTAAAAGATAAGCGAAGCCTCGCTAATGATTATCTAATTGACGTAGTACGACTGTGTGATTATGAATATCATCAATAATAATATTTACATCATTTCTAAATATTGTCTTAGCAGTTTTCAAAAAAAAAAAGAAAAAAAAAGAAAAAAAAAAAAGAACTATTAGGCTTTAGAGTGTTAAACTTGAGAACCAAACAGCAAAGTCATTAATAAATACACTTAAGATAACGCTCTTACACATATGAGTGTATCACTATTAGGGCTGACATTGAATGACTTAGTCTCTTTAAAAATAAAATCTCCTAAACAGGCACGTTTACAGATATAAGATGTATTGCAATTTCAGACGAGCTTATATCAATGATGGATCCGAGATACTTGTGCTCATTGACAATTTCAACCCCTTCTCCATTTACTGTAATAGTTTCAAGATCACTCTTCTCCTTTCCTAAAATCAAACACAATCTCTTTAGTTTTAGAGACGTTAAAAGTTATAAGTAATTATATTTGCCCCATGTTTCAAAGCTCTTAAAGAGTGTTCTGTATGAATTTTCATCACCATTCTTAACTAACCTAGTAATAGGTGGTATCGTAAACATAACGAATGAGAAAACAATTATTAGTGTCCAAGATAAAATCGTTTGTATAATATCGAGAACATTAAGGGCGATAAACAGCACCTTTGAGCTCCGGTGAATGTGAGTGATGAATCGGATTTAAATTTATCAATTAATACGCTGTCAGGAACTTACCTATCCAGAGTGAGAGATTAGGGTTAACACTGTGAAGCTTATGTAGAAGTTGGATGGTATTAAACGCTGAGTCTATGAAAGGATCGATATTCGAACGTAAGATTGGTGCTTTAAGGTGGCAGTGACCTTTGTGAAAAATTGTGGCTAGTACGTCATTGACTCCCCTTTTTGAGATTGCAAGGGATATAAAAGAGCATTACAGTAAGTTGTGAGTATTGATTTAATAATAGTTTCGAGGAACTTCATGTGAATTGCTGTTAGGGCGATAGGTCGGTAATCGTTCAAACTGGTAATTTGTTTGCACTTTCGGCAAAGGAACAACACTATAATTTTGGATGATTTCCAAGGTAAAGGAACTGTGTCATGGACCATTGGAATAATCTGCAGAACACAGAGAATAGTTAATTCGCGAAAAGTCTTTAGCAATTAAGATGGAAGGTCACCTGGGAAAGTTCTGCACCTTTTCCCAATTTGAGACGTTTATACATCACATGAACATTAACTGAGATGCTTTCGCTTACCTTTAATGTCGCTAATGCTGCACATGTCATCACTGAAGTCATGGATGTCGAATCAGGAGGAAGTGTTGTGGTCGTTACACAGAGCTTGCAAATCACATTTTGAGTCGGACTCGATATTAGATTTCTTCTTCCCTCCCTTCTTGTATATAAATACATAAGCTTTCGACTCCTTTCCGAAGTGTCAATCAAACTTAAGAACTGACCAAACAGGGCCAGGAATACGCGCGTGACTAAGAAGTACATGTGTTGTCCCACAAACGCACGTGTTTGAATGTTCTTTGTGGGACGTACGGTACCTTGGCAACAATATCTAAGGGGCGTGGTTTAGCGGAAAAGTTCATCAGAAAGGGGTGTTTTTGTTTCTAGTTAATACAAACATATAGGGCTATTTAACAGATCCTTAAAATTAGAAAGTAATTTATTTGAACATTTTTGGAAAAATAAGTTTGTGAAAAGGTTAATAATTGGATCAAATACCTATTTATTACACTACACCTTCTCCTCCAGTCCATTGTTTTTGCAACACTTATTCCAATTACATTTAAAATTTGTTGTAATTAAGGTCATGTATATTTAAAGTTTCGTTTAAATTTTTTTTTCATCAACCAAAGAAACAAATTTCATATAGCCTATGTATTGCATATGATGAATAAATTTTGAATCTTGAATTTGTATTTAAATTCAGTGACTTAATTGAATACATGATGTGTTTTCTAGGTTTTGACCACAGGCAATTTTTTAAATGTATATAAGGTCTTGTAAAGCCGGGCGCTTATTGCGCCCGACGGCCGTCGGCCAACGCGATTCTTATCTATGTAGAACGCAACATAACGCGAGCGCAATGGATCGTTTTTAATGACGATCGGTTAGACCATCAGACTGCCACCGATAATGAGCAGAGACATCGTCGCGTCATCAGCGCTCACGGATTGCGGAGTTGGGGTCATTGTAGGACGCAGTAAGTGCCCGGCTTAAGAGTCCATAAAAAGAAATTTGAATATACCAATTATTTGTCATGCACTTACGAAACATGGGCGAATACATATTCTGGAGTTTATACTGTTAAAATTAATTTCATAATAATGAATTTATCTCGCAACATCATATTTCTAAATAAACTGCTTAACAACCAGTGAATTCTATTGATATTTTATTAATTTCTTGCAACAGGAAATTCAAGTAATAACCAAATTTGTTTATAAACTTTAGAATGAAGCATTCCGGATTTAATTGTTAATCAAATTGAACAACTGAACAATCAGAGCAGCACCAGAGATATGAATATGTGTCACAAATTTACGTACGTTTTAATGCTGTTGTTTTGTGAGACCTTTGCTACAATATCGAAGGGGGCGGGGCTTATCGGGAATGGGTCCATTACAACTACACTGCTTCTGTTACCATCAATAACAACATTAGTAGTAAACATTAATTACAATTGCCGAATACTTAAGTATGGCATCGTTAAAAAATGACAAGTACAGAAAAATAACATAAAATTAATGAAATAGTACATAGTAAAATATTAAAGGATACTTCTGTGTTTACATTTATTTGAAAGCTAATTACTGGATAGTCAAATAAAAATGTTATGTATGCCTTTACATCAATAGTTGTATTTTACAATTTACTGATTTATTTGATAATCATTATTATTATATACAGTACTATCTATACAATATGTACAAAAACTATACATTTTCATAAGATTTAAACAACAACTCTTTAAATTTAAAATGATATGCACACACACATATATATCTGTCTCTTATACACATCTAGATGTGTATAAGAGACAGTATATATATATATACACACATATACATATATATCAAGACCATTAGACAAGAATAAAGCACAAAGAGATATTTTTTTTTTTTTTAAATGTGGTAATCCTAAGTTGTCCAAAATTCAGCAGGACTGTTTTCATCTATCTGATTATGGTAAAAAATACCAATACTTTTTGATAGATCAGTGCTTTTTATAAAACAGGTTCTGTCTAACTCAAAATTTGTTCAATCATTAAAATACAACAGTTATCAGAAAAATGCTCAGAATGCTAAAACGTTTGAACATAAATTCACCAGTGTCAGTGTTTCATCGTGTCTCATTATGCTTGGTCCAAGGTCAAACTTCTGTTTACAAAAAAGATGACTGCTGTCGAAAAAGTATAATTTTCATTTGGTGAAGGAAATGGAACACTACCAAGTACTTGGATTTTTAATTAGAATTATTTAATTGATTTTAGTTATAATTAACTATTATATAATTTTATAACGCAAAAATACAATATTTATTTTTAATATTTACTTTTATAATTTATTATTATAAGTAACAATACTGCATATCTGTTAGATACTTGTCTAGTAAGTACATTGCATTAAAGCAAAGAAAAACAAAATATGATTGTTTAATGTGCAACACATTTGATAAGGAATCAAGACATTGAATAATTTACAAGATAGTGTGATATTACATACTACATTATAAAAATATAAAATATTATAATACAATGTCATATATCTCAGACACATAACAGTTTATACTTAATAAATTTAAAATTTAAGTGGAATATAATTAATTCAATTAATGTGAAGATAATAACATACATTCACATTTGTCCAGGTGAGAAATAGAAAAAAAAAAATAGATGTTCAATTTTAATGAATGTAATGTGTTGGGAATGAACATTATTCTACAGATTTATTTATACTTAATTGCATGGAGCACGCTACACATTTTTCACTGTTATAATATCGAATTGTAAAAACATGTTAAAAAACACAATAACTATGTAAAATTGTCGGGAATTTGAGAAAAAGCCACCACATTTACAGTAAACCAGTTAAAGAATCATGAGATTCGTTTACAGAGTGACCTTTGTCTTCATTGTTGCAAAATCTTCAAAGAGAGATTGTACAGATAAAAAAAATCTAAATAATGTCAATGTTGTCTTTATCGTTGTGAATAGCATTTACACTAAAATGGCTACCCACACACTCAATCCATAACACCAAGGATGGCAGTATTTGCAATTGCATATACAGTAAAGTGACTATTGTGTCATTAAGAGAGAAATTTGAGTTACGTATTGGATAGTTATTTCTCAGTCTGGCTATCTTCTGTCTAGGTCCAAAGTTTATTTGGGGCTATACCCTCCTGTGTGGTTATAGTCGGATTGAGGTTTGAGTTGGAAAGAAACTGAAGGGGAGTCAGGACTAGATAACCACAGACTTTTTCAAGTAGTCTCTTTGCTTCTTCCACGTCTGTTACACTCAGTCCAGCCTCCTGTTTGTAAGCTTTGAGGTCTTCAAATGTATGGCATTTGTCAGAAGGCAAACAGCAGAAGACCTTAAAAATAAGAATATCAGATTTGTCAATATGTAACATATTTGTAGAATCAATGAGGATTTCATACAAGGTAATTCTCATACTATATTTCCTCGGGTATATACACACCTCGGCTCAGGTATATGCCTACCCCCTACTTTATGTCCAATTTTATGTACTAGGGTTTCCTTGGGTAAAAGCTCAAAGTATGATTTGAATTACTAGCAAAGCTAACTTTCATAAATACCTAAAAAATTAAAATCAAAATTACAGTAGGCATGAAGTGTTGATATTCTTTAAATTTATACTTTTCTAATGATTCTCATAAGAATCAATGATTTAACATTTGATTTAGGTAGAAAGTGTGGAGTTGTTTAGAGCAGTGGTTCCAAACTGTGTCTGTAGAAAAATAATTTGGGGTCTGCCAAGTCAAAAGGATTTGCAGGATGTCCTCGAACAATGCTTGGGTAAGCTAGACTTTTAGACTAATTTTTCATGACTTCATTATTTTTCTCATCTTACAACAGTGTGATAAATTTCTTACTGCTACTAAATGAGCCTTTATTAAAAATGAAATAGCTGTGGTGATGTATTTTTATATCTATTATAACCTTATCATTTCTGGTGGAATATCAACAATGAGTAGATTTGGGGCCCATGAACCACAACCGATACCACTAATAATATATAATATCTCTATCTTAAATCTCATTTTTAGGCCACCTACAGTCAATTAATGCTCTGAAATGATACTCAAAAGATTTGTGCAAGTCATGCTAAAGCAATAACTTGTACAAACTAATAAAATAATAATGTACTATATATACAGACATGTTTATTCAGTGAAAAAAAATGGACTGATGTTCCTCCAATCTACATACAGTATACAATATATTATTGACTAAAACAAGCATTTTCAGAACTGTACAGAAATTCATATTTATAGTTAAGGCATGTACTGTACAGTTTGCCTAATGCTGATTAATTTCAATGAGGTCAACATAGTTACATAAGCCTCACTTAACAGACATACATCAAACCAATGAAAAGTGAAAAGAAATAACGTCCATCAACCGCAACAGATGTTAATTTTCTTACTGATTTCTAGATGCTTTAATACACAAATAGTAAGGAGTAAATTCAAATTAGAAAAGTATGGTATACAAGGTAATCAGAACATAGGTATTTTTTAGGCAAACCAAATACCTTAGCCTGTTGCACTGGCATTAATATGGTGGGCTAAGTCAGCAGAAATTGTAGTAAGAGTGGGTGGGTTAATGAGGAGGTGGGCAACTAGGAAATTACGACGAAGGAGCAAATGGACTAGGGAAAAAATGAGAGCATGCAGAAAAAAATACACCTGATTAAATGTTTTAGAAATACAGGATGTACGTGGGACACTCACAATGAACATCAATCAATCAAGTGAACAGCTAGTGTTACGAACTAAAGAAAGTGAACTTATAAACAACATAGGAGCAACCAGGGAGTTACTGTACATTAGGCAGAAAATATCAATTCAAATTATCAATATCAGGTTAGCATAATCCATTTCCCAAGCTAACTTCCAGTGCCACACAAGAAATTCCCAATTACCAATACAGACTTACATTTGCGCTATCATGCTGCACAACAGAGTTCTTCCCTCTTTGCCCCATGGTTTGTACAGTGTTAATAAGTCAAAATCTTCCTTACATGCACGTAATAAAGCATATAATTTCAAATGTATTTTTAGGTTGTTTTACCTAATCTACTACACGGATGTGTTTATGTAGTTGCAGCCCTAGAAGCACCACCGATGTCAAAACAAAGAATTACTGTATATAGGCATCCCTAACCCATCTACAAAACCCAGTAAGACAAGTATTTCTATGCAGGGCAGTGACTGTGTTAATCCCTTACTTCTGCATAACTTGTATTGTAATTGCAATATATTGATTGATTGATTGAATGAATGTATTCGGTGTAAACACCAAGGATAGCCCACGAAAGTCTAGAAGAAGACTTATTTCCAGTAGGGTCCTTCTGGTGGTGATTGGGCAGTACACCGGGAGACAATCCCCTACTCTTTTCTGAAGAGTGTACTGCGTTCTTTAACGTGCACATGGGCCATAATGCACACGGGACCAACGACTTAAACATCTCATCCGAAAGATGGTGCGCTATTGTAACTTGTATTTCAGCCCTCTAGCTGAAACACAAGGAGAGGCAGTGATGGGAATTGAACCGGAGACCTAGAGATCTCCACGGTTCAGCGCACACACAGTGGCTACCACCAGATTAGCCGACTGAGCTAAGCTGCTCTCAATTTTTGGAACCAAATTTTGTTTTCTTAGTTTGTGTTAAAGAAGAAAACGACTGATTACTTACCTGGTCATAGATCTGGGTGTTGTTGGCAGCGATGTTCATCCAAACGCCCTTATAGAAGTGGTCTGACACTGGATCTCGGATATCTACATCAGTCTTTTCAAGAAGGATTCCAAGGTGCTCCCTGCACATATAAAACATTTGAAGCAAAAATAACATCAGCAACTTTTATTTATTTATTCATTCATTCTGAATTCAAAAAGTAACATTCACGGACAAAAACACAGAAAAGTACAAAAGGCAACCCATTTCCACTGTCGTTTCTAAAAGGAATACATTGATATGATAAAAATAACACCAATAAAGTTGTTAATATTATGTAAAATATTACAATAGCATCAAAATACTAAATAATAAGAGCAACAACAGTAATAATACATAGTAAATTAAAACCAGAATTTTTCCCAAGCATGTTTCAATGTTAAAACACACCTGTTGGTTTATAGACTCACTTTCTGTCTGGTCACATACCAACAAACTCAAACTGAACCCCTCCAAGTGTCAGGTTATGCAAGTCTATTTTGGCCGCAGTGATGTTCCACATATGAACATCCACATATCCAATAACCATTTAACGGTTGCTAATAACGTCAAACTACTTGGAGTAGTTCTAAGCAGTGACCTAAAATGGGAAAATCATGTTGACCTAATGGTCAAAAAGGCTAATAGGAAACTATTCATGTTAAGAAAATTAAAAGATGCTAGTTTCAATAATAATGAGTTGTTAACAGTCTACATGGGATACAAATGGCCCACCCTAGAATATGCAGCTCCTCTGTGGTCTGGGGGACTGACAGTTTACCAGGAGACTTCTTTGGAAAGGGTGCAAAAACGTGTATGTCGGTCCATTCTTGTAAACAATTATGTTGACTATCAGAATGCTCTCGAAAAACTCGGGCTGGAATTATGCAAAAAGTTTGCTAAAAAAATTAGCAACGATAAAAGATTTAGCCACTGGTTCCCAAAATCTAAAAATATCTCATCAATGAAACTTCGTAAACATAGAAATTATGAAATGCCTTTTTTAAGAACTGGACGTTTTAAAAATAGCCTCATCCCTTATCTAATGAAATTAATTAAAGAATAAATTTAGTTTTGCAATTGCATATAACTTTGTGAAATTTTGAGCTGATGGTTTGGGTTCACTTTTTGTATTGTCTTTAAAATAGCCCCATCACATATCAAATGAAATTAATTGAAAAATTCAAATTGTACAATTTTAACGTAGTGAAATTGTGAACCGATGGTTTGGGTTTGCTTTTGTATTGTTTTAATGTGATGTTTTTGCTTTTTCTCGTTCTTGTTTTCCTTTTGTACAAAATACCCCAATTTAGCTTTTTGCTACTAATGTATTTTTTTATGAAGGAGTTTTTTTTAAAATAAAGATACCGATTATAAAAAAAAAAAACATAAAGAAATTCCAAAATGCCTTGGAGGTTATTTTCAGGCGTCTAGAACACAACAATTTTGCGACGGGAAATTTCCCGGGACCCCCTAGGGTTGTATTATCTCAATTGGCCCCCATTCGGAGCCTCCCTTTTAGACATCTCTGGATCCACCCCTGGCCTCATACAGTAGCTCAGTTGATAGAGTATCTTAACAGTAATTGGAAGGGGGGTTCAAATAAGTTTTTCTCAAATATTTATTATCATTTTTAAAGAATGTATATCAATTTTGACTGACCAGTATGTGCAGATTCTTAAAAAAAAAAAAACCTGCATATTTAAAAGTGTTTTTGAAATAAAAATTGAAGAAAATAAATCCAAGCGTAAAACAGTGGTAAAATTTCATCAAGGTAGAATTAGTCCAAAGATAGCAAAGACAGCTTTAGTTGTAGGTGTTTGTCAGGAGAATGATGAATGATATGCTCAGGTGACTAGTAGTATGCTGTAGGCTAATAGTTTAAAGGAAAAGCCAGCTAATGCATTAGCTATTGTTGCAGATTATTCTCACAATTATCATTAAGACAGACGTTTATATCGCAAGTATCTATAAAAATCTGTATTAAAAATAAATTACATTTGTAGAACATGGCAAACAAATTTGTAGTTATATTTTGATTGTCCCAGATGACATTAGAAGTAGATTGCTAAATGCAAATAGGAGGCGTGTCTATTGTATGGTATACTTTTTCACAGCTAGTTTTTTTATTGTTAATAATTACATTATTGTATTTAAATAGTGACTACAATTTACTGTTTAATTTTTTTTGCTGTGTCTATGAAAAGATGCCAAGAATATTAAATGCACAGCAGTGAGACTTGGTTGGAGTGTTAAGGCAACATAAAACTATTTCAGCCCTATACTGTCTGATATAATTGATTTAATTTGGATACTCATATCCATATTATAAATTATTAACAAAACAAGTACAGAATATAAATACAAGAAAGGTGGGTGTTAGATTCTGGAAATATTCGGTCGCAATATAACGCACCGTCATCGTAAATAATGTGTTTTTTGCTCAATGGTTATATAATTATCAAATCAAATAATTGACTGCCAGGTCTGCTGCAGGAACTTTGACACCCTAAGGGTTCTGATTAATAGTGTCTCAAACAACAAACTTTCAATGTACTGTATGCAATTTGCACCAATACTTCTAATTAAAATTTACTGAATATTAAAAAAAATAAATATAAGGAACATTAAAAATGTTAAATAATTGAGTAAATTTGAATACCGTATTCATTTGTATAAACGCCTACCTCAAATAAATGCCCCTCTAGAGCCTAATTTGGAATAAACCCCTCCCTCGAATAAACCCCCCAGGCATTTATTTATTTTTATCCTTGAATAAATGCCCCCCCGCCACCCTACAAATGACTGTAAACACATTTACAGTAGTGGCAGGAACATCACTCATAACACAATCTACAGTTCTACTCCAGTAGAACTACATTTTTTCAACCTGGTTGGGATCAACAGGTCTTCATGATCATGCAATAACACGTTTTGACGGTAATTATGTGTTGTAGTTCCACATTTACAGTGACATTACATTTTACACCAAAAAAAATAAACAAGTCCCTTAAATAAATGCATCCTTTGAATAAACACATCCCTCTAATAAAGGCCTAGTCCTCAAAAATTCTTCTCAACAATAGACTCCCCGGGGCGTTTATTCCAACAAATACGGTAAATGATAAAAGAGAACGAAATAGACAAGAGATTTCTCCTTTCTTGAGACAAATTTCAGTTTCATCCAGATATAATTTCCGGTAGAAACCGATCTGTTCGAAACTATTTAGCTACTTATGATTTTTTCAGGTTGTAAAAAATTTCTTTATGGAGAATAATTTGCTTGAAGTGAACCTGTCAGCCTAGGTGAAATAAATCAACAATATCATGTGACATTCTCAATAAAAGTGTCTACCGCTGACATTAAAAGAAGTAATTTATTATTCAACATGAATCTGTGTTCAAATACAAAATCTGACCTAAACCAAAATAATTATCATATATAATATTCTAGTACTGTAATACATAATGCATAATACATAAAGTATAATATTTGTTTTTTAAGTGCACAGAATTGATTTAATATTTTATTGACAAGGTACATAATCCAAAGTTTTTTCAATAGTAAACTTAATAGCCTAATAGTAGTCACTCTCTATGTCATTCCAATTCACAAGAAAAATATGATGCTGTACAACTGCACTCTAGAGTAGAATGGTTTTTGGTTATGAGGTGAATTCCTGTTATTTAACAAATCCTTTAAACTAGGACCCTGAGATTGGAAGGCAAGCATCTTAACATGTTTTTGTCAGGGACGCGAGTTCATGTCCGACAGGGTTTGCTAAGGGCCCCAAGAATGTGATTTCACATCCACAGCTGTTCAACTTACCACTATTGTATTGAGCATAAACTTGCCTAGGCCACCAGAATAATCTTTGACTTACTTAAAGAGGCGTTGTCGCAGACCGTATGCAAACTTCCCGGCTTGATATTCAGCTCCATTCATAACACTTGGTACATTTTCTGTGTCTTCAACAATTATAGCAAGTTCACTGTCTCGGTTTCCTAACAAGCTCCGATCGTTGATATTTGCAGATCCTAAGATGACGAGCCTGTCATCGACGATCATCAACTTGGAATGGATGTACACCAGCTCTGTTACAATGGTGCCATTCAAGTTTCCATGGTTACGCAGACCATAAAAGCTAATGTAATTCTGAGGGTTAACAACTGTAAAAAAAAAAATGGGCTTAAATTGGGTCATATTTATACTATCACTTCCAGTTATGATACAATATGTTTTTCAACCCTGCAATAAATGTGACAGATTTTAACACATGTGAATTTCAGATATCCTTTCTTTGATAAGATAAGATAATTCATTATTTTATATTGTTTCATTTGTATATATTTTAATAATTTGACAGCCCAAAATTCACAATTAGAAACATCTGGCATATAAACTGGTCTTGGTTTACTTTCAAATGATGATAATTATAATATTTAAAAAAAGAAGAAATAAAAACAATACAAGTTCAAGTTTAAGTTAAAGAAAAAAAAATTTATTTCTCAGATAATTTCATTACAAAGTAATACATTACATCTGCAGTGCTGAAAAATAACTAGCCACACCAGCAGATAATGTGGTTGAGTGACATATGTCTAAAAGTGCTGTAGAACAATACTGCCCCAAAATAATTACTGTATTAATCTTAAAACTGAAAACCAAAAAGTATAAAAAATAGTATTCCTTTCTATCTTCAAAGACCCATAAACTGGCGGGCAAAATTATGTGTATATTGAATAAACAATCAATCAAATAATACTTTACTACTTTTTATATCAGAACATTAAATCTCCACTTACTGCCCTCCTTCTTCAGTCTTTCAATCAGTGAGCATTCCCCCTTGCATATAGATTTGTACTCCCAGTGCAAGATGGCGTGTATTGAACGACCCTCATCTTCTCCTACCTCTCCTTGGAATGCTGGCAAAAGTGGAAGTACTACATAAACACGGAATGTTGCTTTCTCCCTGAAAAAAAATTTTAGACAAAGAATTTACAACTGATAACAGAGTAATCTACATTAACTATAAATTCCTAGGGGGATTGCAGTCACAGACTGAGGCCTGGTCAGGCAATCCACCAGGCAACCATCTACATAGGAGGGTTTAATGGTTGCAACTAAGCAGGCTACAGTTTGGGGCTGGATGTTTGCAGCCAGCATGAAAAAAAAATGGTTCATCTCAGGCACTGATCCATGATCAGGAATGTGTGACCTCCACAATGTCAAGTTGACAACCCCCACCTGGTGACATACCTTACCTATTGTCAATTTTGACTGCTGTAGTATTTTCAAGAATATACAAAATAATCATAAAAATATTAAATAGAACCACCCAATCAGCATTACAACTACCTTCAATATTACAACTTCCAGAAAACCACCCCCACCTCCAACAGTCGTCAGCATCATCTCCTTCATATCCTTACAGGAAGGAACGATGCTTTGAAACTAAGACTCTTTCTGAGGCTTAGGGAGTGGAGTTGTTTAAAAATGTGAGAAAAAGTCCTGCTGAGACAAAAAGTAAACCAAGGACCCTGGGATTAGAAGGTAAGCATCTTTACCGCTAAACTATTCAATTCCAATAGTTAAATGTACTTTAGTTCACAAGCCACTACTGTCAAACATGTTTGTCACTCTAAAAGTGGGATCATTAATCATGAGAGAAAGTGTAACACCCACGATTCATCAGAAAGTGTGGTTATTTAGAGGAAGTTTGTTTGTTGTCTCCCAGCAACAGGAAATGATGGACGGGTGCCCTAATGAAAAGTTAAATGTAACTCATCATTTCCGTAAGTCGATAATCTATTCTGCAATAACAGCATTCACTTCTGCAATAACATACCTCAGGAGTAATCAATTTTACATTTTGTTTGTTATTTTCATGGGCTTTAGGCAAGATATAATATTATTGTACCATAGTTATAATAATTCCCTTAATACATATTCCCTTTTACATATGGTACCGCTATGCTTCCTCTCATTTTTTCTTTGTACTCTTTTTGTTTGTTGTTATCTAATCTATCTTTCTTTTTCTTCCTGTTTTCTATAACTCTATCAAATTTCCACTTTGGGTAATTGCAGCTCTGAAGGGTTTGCTTCAGAACTGCTGTTGAGATGTTCCCTCGGAACATCTCAACAGGCGCTAAAATGTCATCGAACTGGTGACATCGCGACCGTCAGATTGTAGGTTTCCGCTCTCAGTCGAAAAAGATCGATGATCGCGATCGAAACGTCCAGGTAAGCCTGCGTTTTTATTCTATTGGTTTATTGGTTTAACAAAGAGATGCAACTATCAAACTTGGAACCAGATGGATTTCTTTTCTGATCATCATTAACATTGTTTGAATCACCTATCACTACAACTATCATTATCTGCATCAACAGACTTTAAGTATCTGGGCAATTTGAACAAAAATTCAGTGCAACAGCTTGCAAAATATTGTCTTGGTCAAATTTTCAAGGTTGCAGTAAGATGACTTAGCAAATTGAGATTAAATAAAATAAATAAAGATGACAGAGGAAAGGAAAATATCAAGGCTGCTTTCTGTGAGCGGAAATTTCCAGTGCGACGTCACAAATGTGTTGAATCTTTCTGAGCAATGGTTTGTATGTAGAATTTTCATATTAAATGCATTTGTATGAATTTAAACGTTGAATACATGCACTATAATAATTTAATATTTTTCCAACAAAGTTATGGTCGCACATTTAAACAGCCACTTAAGTGGCAAATAGCATTTAACAATCAATGGATTTGGTATTACTTGTGTAAATAGCAGTTATGATTTTAATAGCTACTTTGGTAGTTACTCTTCCAAGTACTGTCCAGCCTATCAAATTTTATTTGACAAAAACATTCGACATGCCTAAATATGGTCATGATGACATCACATCATGACCATATATAGCCACATCATGACCTTATATAGCCACATCATTACTGTATATGGGCATACAACAATTTGTTTGTCCAAGAACATTTGATAATTTGGATAGAACTCAAATTGACCAAAGCCAACACAGCTTCCGTTAATGTTTAGTAGGTTTTACCTGTATGCCTTCACTATTCTTTGGTAAAGGGCGCTAGCTATCTGATTGGTTACTTCGGTATCATCAATCAGTGATATAAAGAATTGGTTCTGAAGGAAAAAAAATCAAATCATCAAAACAATCGATCACTTGAAACAATTTCAGAAATCGGCACATACTTATCATCAAAGAGTAACAATTGTTTATGAGAAAAATGATTAATAATGTAAATTTATGCATAGAAGATGATCAACGTGAAAGTTTGAAAAAAACTTGATTAATAGTTGTATGTTGGTTGTAATTTTAAAATGACGACCTCTGATTCAACTTCATCTACTAATAAATAATTTTTCAGCCTTCCTTATGCTGACAGTGTTTTCATGAAATCAATAGTAATCTAATAAACGATTTTTTCAAATGTTGTAATGATACTAAAATAGGCCAACCATAAAATAAGACATTACAGTATCAGATTTTTTTTTTTTTTTTGTAATTTATGTCTACTTCCAATGACGGTAACATTTGACTTTCCATGGAAGCATTAGACGGTATAAACATTTTGATTGAAAAATGTACCATATACCGTATTTATTTGAATAAACACCCTTTATTATTGAGTGTTTTTGAGGGTTGTTCATTTGAGGGAGACATTTTTTTGTGTAAAATAGATACATATAAACACCCCGTAATTTTACTGTAAATGTGGAACTACTACACATTACCATCTAAAAGTCTTATTGTGTGATCATAAAAATATTATGATCCAAACCATGTTACAAAAAAATGTAATTCTATTGAAGTAGAATGTGTTGAGAATGTTGTTGCTGCCATTGATTTTGTTTTCAGTCATTTAAGGGGGCAATTATTAGAAGGAATAAATAAATGTTCCGGTCGTTTATACCAAAAAAGACTAAAAAAAGTTGGGGGGAGGGGGTATTTCAAGGGGGTTGTATTCGAGTGGGTGTGTTTATTTGAATTAATATGGTAACAGGAAACAAATACCATATGTAAGATAAAATATAAAAAATTATATTGAAATGTCACTTCTTCAGTAGCTTCTAAACAAAAACAATGCTGAATGAATGGAATGATAATTCTTTTTAAATATTTATACACATTGATTTTTATAATATTTGCAGCAGAGGCCTACTAACATATCCCAGAGTGACTTCTAAATATTTTTTTTTTAAACCACATTTATAGAGGGGTGACCCTTTCAGCATATCATAGAAAGTCAGCTGATGTTCAGGGACCCTCTTGAATAAATGACATACTGTAATGTGAAGTCTCATTACGAGCCTTAGGGATTGGATATGCTTTTTAGTTGTGAATAAAAAATCATGTGCCGTCACAGGATTTGAACCGAGGACCCTGACATTGGAAGGCAAGCTACATCTCCACTGCAAATACTGATGATAATATTAATGAACTGTTCAAAAATATCAAGTCTCTAAGTACAAGAAAGGTAAACTTGTTCACACAATAGAAAAAGTAAAAAATTAACGAATTGTTGCATAATAAGGAATAAATGGTACCTCGATATATATGTAATGCTCTGCGGTCTGAATGGCATGGACGTACGCCCTCTGGATTGAGTCCTCCGTGTACTTCATGCCACATGACCAACTGCCTATAGAACGCAGCAGCTGAAATAAAATGTCAAAGATTACAACATCAAAATGTGTAGTCTACTAATTTCCTCAAAAAATGTTATTTAGCCTCGATATACTTCCTTTTATGCAATTACTTTTCATTTTTATCAATATTTTGGGATATTTTAAAAAACGTTTCTAGACAGAGATAACAAAAAACAGAACTTTAACAAACAGTATACATTTTGTATTGAGATATTTTTTTCATTCTAAATACAAAAATAAACATTTCAAAAAATCGAAAATTACTTATTTCAACATAATGTAACAGAATTACATCTAAACTTAATATACAAAAAAATAAAATTATACAATTACACACATCATTAAAATATATAAAAAGAAGGTTTCAAACACGTGTGCACATATTACAAACAAACTAAAAGAAATTTAAATCAACTCTACTGTTTTTATAGAGATTTTTATTATTTAACTATCAGAATAAATAATTAAATTAAAAAAAATAATGAATAAAAGAATTAAGATATATAATTAAATAAATAACAATAAATAAATAAATAAAATTTATTAAATTGAGATAAAAATAAAAATTAACTAATAAAATTAAATAAACAAACAATAAATAAATAAATAAATAAACAAATAAATGTTACAATTATTCTATACCTGGCATTTGCAATTTGTTCTTTGTTGTTTGTTATGCTCTTTCACTTTGATCTGTGAAATTGATTTTGGAACCAAAAGCATATATGCATCTTTTTGTTTCACTTTCTCAAGCTGCAAGAAAAGAACAACAAAAACAAACATTACATATCTTTGCTAAACTGTTGTTATCTTGAAATAGCACCTTAGTCAATAGGCAAAGTTTTATTCATCATTCTTATGGAAATTACATTGTTCCATCTAAATCATTGGGAAAGGAGAATAAAGAAATAATCTAATATTTTTTTATTCAAGTTAAAAATACCCTTGGGAGTAATTGTTCTATAAATCTATTTGCAAATCATTCGGACCTTTTGCAGGTTTTGTTTCTATAATTCTTTCTGGGAGACTGAGCAAAAAAAAACTGTTCTATTGAATCACTAGACAAGCTGGTAAGACTACAGGACAACAAGTTTTATTACTTCATGTTATACATAAAAATTTTATTGTTACGAAAGTTTGAAATATACTGATGGATGAAAACCATCCTTTGGTTTACAGTTTTTGAGCAAGTCCCTTAAGTTCCAGATTACTCTAAGTTAAAGCCAAATACTGAGCGTTACAGAAAATTTCAACAGCAATCAGAGTGTTTAATGAAAGAAATGATTACTAGATACATTTAAATAATAATGATAACAATAATAATAAAAAAAATAATAATAATAATTATACAGGTCCAGATATTTTATTATATTATATTTATAATCCTTAATGTTTTTTAATCTATTTATAGTGTTGTGTATTTACACTGATCTCTATTTTGGAGGGAGGCCTGTAATATCATTTCATTATTTGCTAATTAGTGAGAAATGTATTTTCTCAATCTAATTTTCACAAGCAATTAAAGTATTGAATATTCTCTTTTGTCTTGTTTTTTGTATTTATGGATATTAATTGTAAAAAATTCAAGAATTGAACTGATTTGAATTAATATTATTTGCTCAACACAGGGATGTTTTGTTATCTTCAAGACCATGTTTAATTCATCCATTCTTATGGAAATTACATTGTTCTCTCTATCTCATTGAAGAAGGAAAAAAAAGATCCACGTAGTGAATAACATCATTTCAGCACTTGCTAATTGGTGAGAAATGTTTTTTCTAAATCTGATTTTGTCAAGCAATTAAAGTATTGAATATTGATGTTCTTCGCTCAACACAGGCTTGTTACCTTAGATGCATTCCACCTTTGTATAAAATGTCTTGATACATCTGCTGCCAACTTCCCCGTTACTGAGCCAGCTATATCGTGCCACGGCATACGAGGTGTCTTTGAACGGTCCACATTATCTGAAAACAGGACATGAGAATTTAACGGTTTCTTTTATAATAAGATCTTAGCAAAATGGTCACTAACGCCCGTATTCTTAAAACAAACTTTAGTTGAACTTCGAACTAGAACTTCATTTAGTGCTAGTTGCATCTTTAACTTCAATTTGTATTCACAAACAATGTAGTCGAAGTTTTAACTACGACTAAATCAAGTCCTAGTTTTAGTTCAACTGAAGACGACTGGCAAGCCACGACTATCAAACTAACCAATGAAAAGGGCTAACTTTTATAGCAGACGAAATTTTACAGATCCGGTAACACGGATGAATATTAAGCTGCCGTCTGTGGTTCAAAAACGTATTTCCTCATAATTCATAATAGACCATCATTCCCTTAATTAATTTTCTATAATAATAACTATATTAGTTGTTAACATATTACAATAGAGAATTTGAACAGACACTGAAAATTTGCTTTCTTTGAAGAACTATTATAGTTGAGCCCGAGCGAGGGCGGCGCCATCTTTGTTGTTGTTATTGTGAAGCTATGTGATCGCAACGCGAGGGGATTTCGTGCAAATCAGGAACTATCGCATGTGGCCAGCAAAACATGTTAATTTCTCCTTCTGGAAGCTAAACTTGATGTCTCTTTTGTTTAACACACCGAAGATATATCAAACTGCGTATACAATCGTTTTTATTCGTTTCACTTTATAGTGAGTTACAAAAAACACGTTTTTAGTGGGTAAATATTTCAAGTCGGCAATTTAGCCTGACCCTAGGCTGACTAAAAAAATCGGCCTGCGGAGGTGTCATTTTAGTCGAGGTTCGCGTCATTTAGTCGCAGTGCTAGTTGAAGTTCGTTTTAAGAATACGAAATGACGTAATTTTTAAGTTTTAGCTCGAACTTCGACTAAAGTTCGTTTTAAGAATACCGGGGTAATACTGATAAATTTGTAGGTTGTGGAGGGTCAAAACATATGAGGCATGCCATACCAAAACCAGTGTTCTTCTTCAAGTGCCATATGTGATGCAGCGGACAAGAGCTTCCAACGATGAGGATCTCTTTCTATGTTTATATTTTATGTGATTTATTCTTTTACTGTTTTTTTCAATGTCTGCTTTTTTTTTGTATCTTTTTACCCCTTTTAACATTTTATTGTTGGGATTCATTAATTTTATGTAAATAATTACCTCAATTCAGTCTTTCTGTGAAGATGATTTTATTAATAAATATACCATTATGAAAGAATGAATGAATAAATTACTATATTCACAAGCATTAACATCAATACTACCATCAGCAACAAAACTATAACATCATTACTTTCATCACATTCATTACCATTGACACCATTGCCATGAAAATCACCATTATGATCATCATCAGCATCAATTAACTTATCTCCACCACTCTCACCATCATCATCACCACTTTAATTGCATCAACATCATCACCACTTTGATTACAACACCATCAACGTCACAAATTTAATTACATCATAATGAAGATGATGATCATCAAAACTTTAATTATATTTACCAGTAAAGGCATCGTGTGGGTCAGCTACATCCCTCACAATAAAATTACAATAGTCCTTCCCAGGCCACAGCTTAGGAGCCCCATGTATACCCATCTGATCTAGCCTCTCATCGACACTCGTCCTAAGTGTCGAATTCTTCATGGATTGTATTCGTAGACTGTCATTTCTATTGCCATCGACATCTGTAAAGGTCACATTACTGACCTCACCATTGCCTGGAATCTCTCGCTACAAACAAAAAATGTAAAAGCACAAAATATTAATATCTGGTTTCATATATTTTTTAAAAACATATATTTTGTTGCAATTATTTAAAATGTATAGATGAAATGATTCTTGCAACCTTCCAATCTTAGCTACCTGGGTTTAAATACTGTGACATAGAAAACTAAAGAAATAAGAGAAGTTTTTACACTAGAACGATACGATAACGATTTATCAGTTATGCGATAACAACATATTTTGACAAATCAAATCAGGTGACGTCATAATCATGGAAAGACATCGTAGTAGTAGCAACGATTTTATCGTTTTTTCATGATTATATGACAACATCTGATTTGATTTGTTAAAATATTTTGTTATCGTATACACGATAAATCATTATCGAATCGTCCTAGTCTAAAAAATTCTCTTATTTCTTCTGTTTTCTACATGAACAATCGCTTTTTAGCTTTTTGATCGTTATCGTTATCGTTGAAGTATGAACAGGCCTTAAGCTTTACGGTAATTATATCATCAGAACAAAAGTACCTTCTTTGCATACGGATTCTCATGACTTTGAGAGAATGCTGAGCCCAAGTCCACGAGACGGTGTTTAAAGTCATCCCATCGTCCATAGCAGATGTCCAGGCCACCTAGGTAGGCCACTTGTTGGTCTATTGCTACTAATTTCTCATGATGGGCCCAGAGGATGGTTCCACCGGGTACATGGTCAGGATGGCGGATAACCTGCCAAGAAAAAATTATTTTAAAATCAGTATATGTTTAAGATACTTTTTTAATTGATGATAAAATTGAATAAAGTTATTCTTAAATCCAGATTCTCTAAGGCACTGTTTGGCCCTGTCACACCTTGACGATCTAGCGTACGTCGAATAAGTTATTGGTAAGTTTTGTATAAGTTACGGACACGCTGAAGCATGCTGGTATACTTTGTAGTATGTTGAGTACAATTCCGCTGTGCATAAGGTAGACTATCATTGGGCATAAGTTCTGAACGCCGGCAATACGCCAAGCATTCATTGGTATAACTTTTCTACAAGTTATAAAAATGTTCTATATAAGTTACTAATGCGTTTATGTGTACGTCTAATTTGTTATGAATACGCTATGTATGCACCCAAAATTGAAGAAAAAAAAAAAAAATAGTTCAACGTATGCCAGCGTTTAAGAGAAATTTTGATATGTAGGCATACGCTGACTAAATCGTCAAGGTGTGACAGGGACATTAGCTTCATACCCCAGGCTTTGAACAGGTTTATGTGAAGATATGCACCACAAGAATTAGTTAATATAAGAAATAACATTAATGCCATTAAAGTATAAATGGGAGAGAGGGTAAATAACGTCTCAAATATAACTGTGCCACTTTCAAACTAAATCAAAGGTGGAATACTGTGAAAGCCATCAGAAAAAAAATAAGTGACTATGACTCAATACTTTTTGAAGGTGGTTAGAAAGGCAAGGGCAAGAAAAAAAAAACATTGTTGACAAACAATGCGTAAAAGAAACCTGTATTCCTGTGTACTAACTGAATCAGAAAGGCTAGAGACGATTCAACATGATCTGATCATGGTTTGCTGCAGACTGTAGACATATGCACAACTGAATACAATTCATAGAATGTCGCCCTCTATATTGAAAATGACTGTAATCACTGTAATTACAAGCCAACAATTTTTTTTTTCTCTATAACTAAGAGAATGGCATAAACATATTATGTGTACAAATATTTGAATCTATTAACAATTTATTAACAGCATATTGCAAGTGCTACAGGACACTGGGTTGTGAAGGGTGCTAAAATTAATACCAAATATAATTAATTTTATCATTATAACAAAAATTTACCCTGATATTTTTATGCAGTTTTTGTAATCTTCGTTTTGTTTCCTTGCTGCACAGACCGAGAGCCATCTCTACTTCTTTGTACAGGAGTATACATACTTTTACTCCCTCTTCCTAGAAAATAAAAGAACGCATCAAAACATATAATATTAGCAAACCAAATGATCCAATCCATATATCAAAGGTCACATAGTATTTAATGTACAGTACATTAGAGTAATAGAAATAAGGGCTGCATGGACAAAAAAATAGTAAAACATTATTCATGATACACTAAAGAGTTGATCATATGTTCCAGTAATATATATCGCCAAGCAGGATTTCTAAAGGGAGTTCTAATTTATCACCAAATGGTTGCAATTTGAGTCAATACCCACCTCAGCCCCACCATGGTTGGGGAGAATTTTTAAGATATAACACCACAGAAGTTTGTAAATGGCACTCTAATACATTAAAAATTGCCAAATGATACCTTTTACTAATAATTTGAAAAGGGCATTTCTTGAAAAGGGGAATTTTCTAAACCCATCAACTCCTGCACCAGCTTGATTATGCAGATACACTACAAGCTATATTGATGTTGGAAAATAAATATGCAATGATGTCAAAAAGGGTAAAGTTGAGCTAATCTGCAGTTAAAAAAAAAAAAAATCACAATCGAGATATGAACTTAGCTTTCCTACTTGATATTCAGATATAGTCTTACCATTTCAGTAGTCACTAGGGCTTTGTGGTGAATTTAAATTTCATTGAAAGTATCTTCCTTCACTCTCTAAACAATATTATAGTCCTTAAAGGTACTGGCTCGGATCACATATCAATATGATACACCCTCATCAGAATTTGAACATTAGTTTAAGCCATTATTATACTCGGTTTATCAGCCTATAATAAAAAGATTAATTAAAGAAATCTACTTACTGCTTTTCTTTGAAGAATGTTGTCAATTCTCCACCTATGTCCATGAAAAATTGGTCTTTTAAGGTAGATATCGGGGTTAAACCTTTAATCCAAAATAAAAGATTATATTTCAATGGTAATGACAATAATAATAAAGAAATTGTTCAATAATTATAATAATAATATTAGTGTAAGATTTTCAGAATCTAGGTTTAGCTTACCGTAGTAATAATAATAATAATAATCATAAAACGATAATACTGTTTAATAATAATAATAATAATAATAACAGTAATGGTTATAACAACAATAATAATACATATAATTCAATACAAAATAACAATAACAATAATAATATATTTTAAAATAAAAACAAAATATACAAGTTAAACAAACAAATAATAAACTTATAAAAGTGCATAAATGATAAATCAAAAAGGCCATGAAATACATAATTTCTGTTGGGGGGGCCATCGTAAAACAAAAAAAAAGGCCCCCCCAGCGGGAGCATATGTCTATGGCCATACTGCCTTACTGTGTGTTTACTAATAAAGCATCCACATGGAAATTCGGTTATTAGGAAATGTGTGGTGTTTTTTCTTTTGTTGTAGCATCCATCGTGCACATTCACTGAATATACACACTATACCTTCACCACTATTACAGAGTTAACTGCCAGATGATAACATAGTGTCACAACTAGATTACCGTACTATGTAAATAATTATCAAAATTAATTATTTTCAGGATTATTTAACCAAAAATGTTTACAATAGCAATAAAATTCAACAGTGATCAAGAACACGATCAGCAAACATGAACTTTTCTAACAATAACTTGTTAGCATATTGACTTTTTTAACAACATGTTTGCATACCTTTTAACCAATCAATTATCAAATATTTAAATACTTACCACCAATCAGAAATGAATATTTCTTCCTTTGCTTCCTCTAAAGCATCAGCTAACGATTCAAAATAGTGTTCACCATCCACAAACCTAAACAACAGAAATATTATAATTATCAATAATTGTTATTAGTCTACTGGATAGTGTATAAAAATATATTCTCTGTGTCGCTGGAAAAAAAAGAAAACATTAATTTATTACTTCAACTTGAAACTTGGTATACAAAAAAATATGTAACTATTACAGATCCCTGATTTGGCTATTTAATTTTTTTCTTTTTTAGTATAGGTGATTTTTTAATGTGTTTGTAAAAGAGAGAAAAAAAAAATAAGATTGAATGTATTTTGGTATGATTTACTAACGCTACCTGCTGAAACATAGACTATTACTATGTACAGGGTATGTCTGTCTGTCAATAGAGATTGTAAACTGCAGCTTTTATAGCACTAAAAAGTAAACATGCATAAATAGGCAATAGGAGATTATTTACGTTCCATTAACCCTAATAGGCGGCCATCTACAGTTAAAATGTCAACATTAGGACCTAATAGACAATAACAGTGAAGCAAACCGCAACAAATCATAAGCCTAATGGTTAACTGCAGGCATGGCTGCAGGTGACCCTATAATCACTTGTGATAATGTAGAAAGTAATCGTCTCTGTTTTTACAGTGATTATTTCTTATTAAACATTATTGCAATGTGGTTCCAGTTGGTAGGAGCAGGGAGTTGTTATAGTGAGAAATTCGGCAGTATAGGTAGTCCTTCTTTCAATAAATGAATACCATTCCAGTCTATACCTAGGCTATGACTATATGTGTTGTTGTTTCTTCAAGTCATTAAACTCCACTCAAAAGGGATAATGCCTTTAATACTGCATGCACAGCTGAATATTTATGGACCAATTTACCAGTAAAAATGTTTCAATTGGGAGAACACTATATTGGGTATTCTAAACATAACAAACTCAAGCGGTCTAATGTTTTATGCACTAATTCCATAAAATATGCTTGAGTAAAGCAAAACTCATCAAATACTCATTTTAAGGCAACATAATTATAAGGAACAACTCCTATGCTTTAGTGTTAGCTCATCAACAACGATGATGATAACACTATTTGTAAGATGGCTGTTCCGTGACAAAACAACATAACATGAAGTTTTCACTTTTCGAGGAAAATAGAGTTAAAGTTTGCAACAAATTGGTGCACCATTCTGAAATTTTGCAGGAAAATATATCTATAGAAATTATGATAAGATGTGAAATTTTAAGTACACAGTTGGTGTATTGCAAAGTTATTAACGATATTCACAGATATGTTGTTTTACCTTGGAAACATTGAGAATTGTCAAGTGCAACTTGAATTTTTTTAAAATTTATCACGTCTGGGGCAATCATATGCATTATTTAACTTAAGCATGTTGCGATAGCATAATACATACTCCAAGTATCGAAATGCACGCCATCGTGTCGGAATTCAATATTTCGACATTAATTATGTTATCATCAGGAATGAATAAGAAGATGCCATAGTTAGGATTATTGATATGAAGGTTTACCACTTGATTTTGCTATGCCAAACTCCATCAGCTTAAAACAATTTTGGAATACCATTCTGAGGTAAAACAACATTTCTTATTGTAGATATTTTTGTTTTGCAATATAATCTTGCAGTTACTTGTTTTACCATGGAATATCACTAAATTGTAAGTTTTATACTTAAAGGTAAGTGGTGCTATCTCCAAAACGACTCATTGTTGAGACCTGAAATTTTCACAGGTAATTCAGGAGTGTTTTAAAATATACTCCTAAATGATATTATTTCAAAATCGACAAAAATGTGAGTTATATTGCTTTGCCTTGGGATGGCTGAAGAGGCCAGGCCTATTACAAATTGACTAAGAAAATTATGTATGAAGTTAACAATCGATCCAGACATTCTAGAGACAGGGATCTGTCTATATTCTAGAATACGTATATGACAATTATGCAAGTAATGAAAAGAAAGAAATGATAAAAAAAATATGAAATCTTTAAGAAAATTGATTTGTGTATAATACAATAGATTAAATAAATTAAAGTAAGTAGGCACACACTCCAATTTAAAGCCTATTCTCTTTTATTCTTGATGCTTTTAGTTACAGTTTGACCAAAGATTTATTTTCTATTAAGATGAAGTATTGTCAACAGTATTCTATTAGTTACATGAAAGTGAGCATTTAAGGTATTCATAGACTTCACTTTAGGATGCAACTGAAAAGTAATTGCCGCCGTTGCCATAGTGATTTTTCTTTTATCAAACATTAATGCACAGTGGCTCCTATTGGTAAGAGAGATTAATCATTATGCATGTTGTAGCTTTATCATGGTGATTCTCAGCAAATGTACAGAAGGAAATGGTTGTTTTACTATTCCACCTCTTCTATCAAGAAAACTAATAAACATTAGAAGACTGGTATTTATCAAGGCATATTCCAATCCCACATGAAAACACAGTGCAATAAAAACTTCTGAGATTATAAAAGGGCAAAATTTTCCAGAATAGGTTAAGAACAATTCTATCAGTTGACATTAAAACTCTCATCATTGATATTAATGAATGATCTGAGATAGATTTTATGCAAGACTATCCTTTTATCTCACAATTTTAGTATTGTAATTTTTATTGCTAGCTAAGTGTCCTGTAGTTTAAGCTTAGTGACTTTAATTGATTTTATATTTTAACTTATGATTTTATGAAGGAACACTGTATGCCAAGCTCGCAAGAGTTTTAAAATGTCTCTGTTTCTTCAGCAATATTTTACTATTTTAATTGTCTCGATATATTGTGTTTCAAATGTAATGTTGTTGAATAAAAATGTGTTGAATATATAGAATAGGTTGACTGATAGGTGGAAAGAACATCTATTATTGCCTACATTTAAGTGCCTGAAAGACATTTCTGCATCTAACAGCAACAAATTCATTTTTAAACAAAATATCAAATCTCACTGCACTAAATCAAACAACACCTTGAAGAAGCAGAAATGGAAAATCATAAAGGCAAGAGAGCATTTTTATACCGTGCAACTAAGGCATGGAACAATCTTCCAAACCGTGGACCTATACAATTTTTGGTTACGACAGTAGCTTACACTGACGTCATGCTGCTAAAGGGGTAAATCACAATGGCCTATAACCTCATAAAAAAATGCCAAATAACGATTTAAAAGTTAATTTTATTTATGACATATCAAAAATCCTCTCTAGAAAAAAATAGTTCCCTTTTTTTAAACCAGTTTTAAAGTACACAGATTTGAGTGTTTTATTTATTGCTGGTTGACAGTAATTAAAATCTACTTTACTCTCACTTGTCTTATAATTACAAGATTAAACGAGGTGTTCACAACCAATTAAGTCATTAATCATTAAGATAGGACTCCTGGAATAATTTTGTTTTAAATTGTTATTATAAGACTTGAATGAAGGTTGTATTGGTTGCTTTTGTCTTTCCTCTATGTTTTTGATTTACAGCATTTTCAAAAATTTTTCAACGGCTAATGGTCCTATAATTGGTTGTTTCAATTTTCTTAAATTGATTTAAATTACCAATTATTTTTTTTTATACTGATATTGATTCTGCTTTTGTTACCAAACAGGCAAAAATATTAGAAAAAATTAGATAATGTTTATAAAAAAATTATGATCAGCATGGGACTATCAATGAATAATATATGACTTTTCAGTGGTACAGTTCTTCTCACAAATAGATTTTAATCATTCAAATACTTTAATACATTAAACACAAAGAAACCATATTGACATAAAAGAGCATGGAAACCTGAAAATGCACTATGGTGTAATGTCTGGATGAAAGCACCCAGGGGAAAATATAAATAAAACTAATATGACAGCAACAATAACATTTTAATCTTACTGAGCTCCATATGCACTGATGGAATGTACAACTGTGTGCCGATCGCTACTTACCAGCTTGCATATGTTTCGTTTCGCACCGGTGCAAATGAGTTGAACCGCTGTTTATTGGTGTACTCGCAGCTTTCCGCCATTAGCATTATCTGAACCATCCACTCACGAGCAATGTGCCTGTTACTACATCTCACCACTAGATCCCTACAAAGATTACAAGAAAAATTCCATTAAAAGAATCTAGCTTATCGGCTTAAATTTCTCACTGGGTAATTTCATATTTAATCTTTCATCCATTATCATCCTTCTCTGCCTGATAAAATGAAACATCCGGAGTTATCGACTATGTGATATGTGATTACTAGTGAATGCACTATAAGTTTTAAGAGCTATGACATCATACATTCATAAGCAAGTCACCTGGTCAAATATAACTAGCAGTAGTGCGGCTAAAGCATCAAAGGAGATTCTGTGCTATGGTATTCAAGCGTCATTAATTTTACTTAATAATCTGAAAATGTACAAATAAATTACCACGCACACCGATCGTAATTATTGTGGTAAAAAAAGATATTATGAATATATGCTATTCAGTTTGGAAACATAATCATATGTAAATGATAAAAAAAATAACTGACTACTGAAGATTTGAACAAAGGCATAACATTTCAAGTCAGGCACTATGCACACATTTCATTTTGGTTTACAATCAGGAATTGACATAATATCCAGTCAAAACATTTATCAGAACAATTTTTTTTTATTTTGCATTGATATATGTTAACTATTAAATCTATTAAACTTCAACATTTTCTTTGGCACTCAAGTTTTGGGGTACCACATATCAATTATTTCATGAAATTTTACAAATAAATTACAATAATTAAAATATTAAAATACTAACATAGATATATAATGTAAACTCCTAAACAATACACCAATATGGTTTTAGCAAGCAAAAAATTAGCATATTCAATCATGTGTCTTAATTTCTTTCTAATATTCCTTCCCGCAATTTTTGGTTTAATATTAATGTAATTTCCCTTTTGGAAAGTAAAAACAAAAAAACAACAAAGAAAAAGAAATAACTGATCGCCTCAGAGGTAATTTTTTGGTGTCTAGAAAACAATTTTGCCGGGGTTGTGTTGTCTCTATTGGCTCCACTTTCGGACATCTCTGGTTCCGCCCCTAAATTTATAGAGAGTACAAGAGTCTCAAAGCCCTTGAGGTGTTGACTAGCTTGTACAGCAACTTGCTTCTCCCCTTAGGGTCTCTTCATGTCTAAGCTACCTGGTAAACTGGTACCAGCTACTCTCATCTGTCCACAGTAGCAGCTCAAACACTGTTGTTAACTTACCTAAACTCATTAGACACTAAGAGACTGCGGGCATCACCAACATGCTCTTGTCCACTTCTAGCAACAAAGTGCTTGTCCATAAGTAACACAGACCGCATATGTCCATCATCAGGGTTAACATAAGAAACAAAGGAATCTTTAGCAATAAACCACCTGAAAAATATGTTTCAAAAAAACCTATTTTAGACTATGTAATAGATTTTGATCTTACTTTTTTTTTCTTCTGCTGTGACTGTGCATTTATGGTGTACCGTAAAATTGGCCCTGGGAAAAATAGCCCCGGTAAAAATGGCCTGAAATGACAGGTAGCTAAATGTGGTCCCCAATGATAAACTTTAATAATAAAACTGCTATTTTAAAATTTTTAATATTCCAACTATTTAAATGCTGCAAAATAACAGAAATTGAATCAATAAATCAACGTAAATCATGCATTTTTCAAAACTAAAATAATTTAGTTTTTGAAAAGCATCTAATGCCAAATAATTTGCAATTTTATATTACTTTTTGCAGGAATTAATATCTATATATTATTGTATCTAAATATATATTTATCAATCAATGTAGTTTATAGTTCAAAACATTAATTAGTTTAAAAAAAAAAGTGGAGTTACCTTTTGTTGTAGTGTGCAGTGCACCATTCCACGCAGCAGGACAAACACCCACAACAACCCTGAGCCACATGGTGTCCCCCTGACCTCTTCTCCACCCAGCCTTCTCTAACAAAACCAATAAAAAAAATTCCATTTAGAAGTAATAACAAAAAGATAAAATATTGAATACTATTGTTTTTCAAAAGCGTTTTACAATGTCAATTTGTTCCCCAGGTTTTCAATATTCAAAAATCTGTTTTTATCAATAGTACAACTTATCAAAACTGTTTTTTGTGGCTTTAAAATGATTGAATTCTACAAATCAAGAGTCAACATTGAAATTCAGTTTAATACAATAGACCATTTTCTTTGTGATTAATTTTTTTATTTTCAGATAATGTTTGATCATCTGTAAATCTCATTATATTCACAATTATTGTTTTCTTGAAAAACCAGCTCAAGCCTTTATATGCATTTTTATGAATACAGTCGACCTTCCCATTTACGTACACCTTGGGCTGAAAGCAGTTCGTAATTGAGAAAATTCGTAAATGAAAAGTTTGTAAGAATAGCGCCCTCAAGTTTTAAAACGCCAAGTTGTAGCCTATAACTAGGCCTGCCTACCAACATCTAGGCTTAATTTTGCATTTAAGTGTTCAATAAACATTTATAGAAATTGTTGAAGAATCAATTAAATTTTAATGCAAGACAAACTAATATTTTAAATATCGATTCATATTAGGCTGAGGAAATATCGTTCCATGGACAGACCGACCTAATCTTCCATGTCACTATAGGCTGACTGTTCAACATACAGTGGTGGTTTAGCCAAGCTTTAGCTGGGTCTAGCAGCAGCTCTCTGCTAACTTTAGCTAGGCCTCTCTCTGTAATTTGTAGCAAATTAGTAAAACATTGATATTAATTTGTATTAAAAGCACTGGGCTTATTTATTTATTTAATTTAGGCTATGTTCTCACACGGCAGCTAACGGTTAGAAGGATCTGGATCCTGCTACCCGTTAGCTGCCGTGTGTCCATGCGAGAAAATCCTGATCCGGATACCAACAATATGATGATCAAATCACTGGAAATTGTAAATGCGTACATGCGATTGGTTGATGATAGAAATGCCCTCAACTTGCTAACTGATAGCGCTTGCTAACCATGAGCATATCCAGATACAGATCGGGCGTTCTCATGCAGGTGCTAACGGTTAGCTCCCGATCTGGATACTAGGGCTCTCGTGAGAACCAGGCTTAAGTCAAGGTATTTTTTTTGTATAATTTAAAAAAAGTAACTGTTCCTATTTTTTTCGACCTTCCTGACTTCCAAACATGTGGTTTTGGTACCTGTAGCGTTGAATGATGGGTAATTGCTGATGTCATCTTCTAAAAATAGAGCAGCTTGCTAATCATTTTTTGACAGTGAAAAACAAATAATACAGATTATTGAATATACGAACAGTGATTTATTAAAAAAATAAAAGGTTAATGCTACCATACATTTATACTCGGACTAGCTGATTCGATTTACAGTCCATTTAGACCGCAGGTAACCATAAGACAGAGTAGGGTAGAGTAGGCCCCCCTGGTATAGGCTGCCCAGCCATGCCTTAGCCTAGACAAGGGAGGCCTAGCAGCATGCACTGCCTGCCTAGCGCTGAATTTCGTCTAGTTTTGATTATTTTACATCATGTATTGGTTTAACTTTTCTAAGCCTAAAGTAGTATGATATTATGGAATGTACTGTATAACTAGTACTATTATGCATTTTTTAATGACTTTTGTAATTCATTTTTCATAAAAAATAAATAAAAATAGCAAAAATTAGATGAATATTTATCTAGTGATGACGTCATCGGCCGAACATTCGTAAAATAGAAGGTTCGTAGATGAGAAGTTCGTAAATGGGAAGGTCGACTGTATGAAGTTTTGTATTATTATAAAGAGAAATAAAGGGAAAACAAATCCTTACTTTCCTTTGGGTCCAAGATCGTTAACAAAAGACAGATGACTGATCTCCAGAAACTCCAACTGAAATAATACAAATAGGCCAAAGAAATTATCATTTAGAATAGAATTTTATAACTTAAAGGGTATCAAACAGGAAATAAATTATATAATTATAATATTAGTTGAACGTTTAAGATGAATATGTAGTTTTGAAATAAACAGGGTAAATAAACATAAGTGTAATTGGTATAGGTTTGGTTTGATGTCTGCATATTCAACACATCTATTATGATGGTGACTAAAAAATGTAGAAAATCATATATTTGAATATAGTAAATATATTTTAGCAAATGCATAATAACTAGTCAAAATCTCAAGTGGCAAGCTATGCAGCAATTTTGGTTTAAAAGATGTTACGTTCTCTTTGATTTTTTTTCCAAACTTCCTATAATAAATCATTCCCCCTACTAAGGCCCCTATGTATTTTGTTATTATGTTCTAGTATACCAATGTAAAAAATATATAATAATTGGAAAGCTAAAAGTATGAAAACTATGTTTCAAAGCAAAACTAAAACCATTTTAATTATATAGGCATTAAATGTCAGGACTCTTAATTAGGAGATATATTTTCAAATTTAATGTGGGTAATATTCTGTGTCAGGAAATTAAATAAGAAACACAATATATTGGAAATCAACCTGCAATGATGTTATGATTACTTTGTGAAATGATATGCTATGATTCCAATAGTATATTCTTGAATATATCGTTAAAGTTTACATACTGTGAAAACTAGATTGTAAACTGTAAAATAATGACATCAGCGAAACTAGTTCACTATTGAACTTAACTGACAAATTTATATCAGATACATCGACTTTGCAACACATTCATTTTTTTCTTTCTCTCATCTAAACAGCAAACACCTTATTACTCCTCACATGATGTAGTAGTGAAGCTTTATAGACTCTGACTCTTTGTGACACTTTTAGGGAGTGAAATAGTTTTTAGTCATTCTGCCTTGTGCCGCAGTTTTCAACAGTGTCTCAGTGTCTTTTTGATGCTTGTTCTTCATTAGAAACTGTTTTGATTTGATTGACTGAGTGATTGATTAATTGCTACTGACTATATTAGGAAGCCATTCAATACAATGCAATACAGCAACACGATTTCAACACTGAATCTTTTTAACCTTTTCAATAATGATTCTGAATTTTTGAATTGTTTTATATTTACTAATAATAATAATAATAATAATAACAATGATGATAATAACAATAATTTAAATAATAATAATAAAAATAATAATAATAATAATAATAATAATAATAATAATAATTTGCATTTATAAAGCGCTCTTTACTGGTGTCTCACAGAGCTATAGGACCATATATCTATTGGAACAGGTGAGTTTTAAAGAGAGACTTGGATGAGAGATGAAGACTGACGAATGTTAAGCGGAAGCTGATTCCAAATCACAGGTGCCTGGAAGAAGAAGCCCTTTGGCTCAGATTTAAGGTGAGTTCTAGTTAGGAAATTAAGAGTAAAGTGAGTGAGTCCATTTCAGAATGAAGGACCTAATAGAACATAAAGTGAAGGTAAACAAGACCAGAGTCATGAACACACTTAAAAATCAGGGTTGCAGTCTTATAAACAATTTGTTTCTCAACTCTAAGCCAATGAAGTCAAATGAACAAAGGAGGGACATGATCATATTTCCAACAATTAAACACTAGTTTAGCAGTCTTGTTTTGCAAGAGCTGAAGATTTTTGAGTTCATTTTTTATTTACCAAGAAGTAAGGAATTGCAATAGACAAGTCTTGAAAGAACAAGACATCTGACAGGGTTTTTTCCCTCCCCGTCCCACTTAATAAAAAACTTAAGTCATCCCATATGAAAATTCGAGCCTAATACTATTTTTCATTTAACATATATACATGCATAGAATTTTAACTACACTCAAAATCAAAAGTCTTTAGAATCAACCATTCTTAAATTATCCCATACTGTATTGTGTCATAAAAATATAGTCTAAGTGATAAAATATAGCGCGAGTTTTAGATGACAGTGAACACATAAGAAAAACACACACAAGCAATCATGCATTATGTCAGACATATGTAATAGTTATAGGAGACAAATGTCATGTGATATCCATAACTTAGAAATAACCTGGAGCTTCAGGTTCGATATGGCAACCTAGTTTATAAAAGACAATCCTACAGTAAATAGCCAGGGTCATAGGTCAGGAATATTTACTCAGAAACAATACACCAATGCACACTAGTTTTGTAACAGGTGTTCAGCTTTGAACAAGTCAATAGGAATAAAAATAAAAATATTTTTACATAATACTACAGGAATTTCAAAGCACTTTTTAACTAAGGTTACAAGGGACAGAAAAGAGAATTTTAAAAAATATGAAAGGACTATTATAATTATGAATTAATGTTGTTGTAATACTATATAAAATGAATGGAATTCCAGAAGGCAAAGAAGCATCCATTAATAGTTTCCTATAGTTGCATAATAAGTAGGAAGTAGCCCAGGAGTGAATATATTTAAATATATGAAGATATTATTCATGACTTTTAATGACAATCATATATATGGAAATTTCTGGGAGATTATCATGTTTCAATTCCACTGATACATTCTATTTATTTCCCTTAAATTAACAGTAATAAACAATTCAATTATATTTCTGTGATATGTAATTTTAAAATGAAATTGGACTAGATGTTGAAGTTTAAATGCAATATATATATTTAGGCTACTATAAATTAATGGCATTGTGATCACCTGCATTTATTCATCTAGGTTAACAGGTATCAGACCAATATGGGCCTTAATTAAATTTATTCAAAGGAGATGGGCGAACAGACTCCAACTCGTAAAAGGAAGACCTTAGAACAATAAAAATACACAAGACACTTGCAATTAGATGATGCTTGTTTTATCATAATTAATTTTATTTAATGGTAGTCTGAACCAACACTGTGTCTATGTTCAGTCGGTTTGGTCTACATTTATCACGTTCGATCTTGCTACAGCCTACATGCAGAAGGGTTTGTAGGATTGTTTATTCTACATCCTGCATGTCCTACAACTAAACAAAATCGTATGTTACGTCTACGAAAGCTACGCGTTGTAAAAGTTGGAGTAGTTGTTGGCTGTACTCTGGCCTATATAAAAAGCATGAAAGTAGTAACAACGCAGCAAGCGTAAATATACTACATATCTGTTTTTTTTTATCTAAGTGGTTTCAACCTGGACTCTACCAGGCTACCATGTGGTTTGTATTATTTCTTATGTTTACTAATTCATATTGTCAGGGAACAAAAATTTCACTGTTCCCTGATATTATAGTATATTGTTTATAGACTGAAATAACAGTCAATTGAAAAAACACAAAAACATCTGTGATTGAATATTTTACTGGAGTACAATACATGGGTCTAAAAGAGCTATAGTTTTCCTGCAAATGTGAGTATGTGTGTCTATGCTTCAACTTAAAAGCTATTTAAATATATTCTGCAAAAAATTTAGACATATATATATATATAGTATTTCCTATGGTTACTATATTGATATTGTATGCTTTCATTTATTTAAAAAGTCCAAACTGAAAAAAATAACAGCTGAGAATAAAAACAACTCTAATTGAAATTGAAACTTACAGGGTAAATATGATATTATTTTGCTTTAATCATCACAGAACATATCCAGTATTTCAAAGAAAATAGCACATAGCCACCAATTTAAAAGCTATGCCTCTGGAGTTAAAATCTTATAAGTTTAAATAATAAAATGCAGTTACCAAAATAACAAAAGAAATACAGTAAATGCTCCAATAAGCGCCGCTCTCGAACAAGCACCGCTCTCGAATAAGCGCCGCACCAAATGTGATTTTTTTATTTTTGTTAAACACCACTCTCAAATAAATAGGCAGAATGGAAAGTGCCATGCCAATATTTTTTTTATAAGCGCTGCTCTCGAATAAGCGCCGCACTGAAGCTTCCAAAAATGTTATAAGCGCCGCGGCGCTTATTTAAGCATTTACGGTACATCAAAAAATGAACACTCCTAAAAGTGGGAAGGCCATAGTGATTAATTTGTAATAGTTTTAAATGAATGACATTGTGATCACCTAGGCCTGCATATATATTTTGTAATACAATATTTTTTTTTCTCACCTTTTCAACTATCTGGTTTGTACTACTACTAGGCTACCATGGCTTATATTATTTCTTATGTTTACTATTATTTCATATTGTTGTATTATAGTTTAAAGTTCAAACTGAAACAGCACGGTCATTTGACCATAAAAACCATACATATAAATTCTAATATA